CCTAATCCTTCGCCATTGGTTCAGCCTCCTTCTCTTCCCGATCCTCCACCTTTCCGTGTCTTTTCTCGTCGTCGCAAAGGCCAACCAAATTCAAGAGCTGTGGAGAATCCAGAAGCTGTACCTCAAGTGTCATCAAACTCATTGGGGGCACCTCAAGTGCCAACCACTCAGGTAACTTGACTCCCAATGATGTTCCTGACTCCTCTGTTGCTAATGATCTTGAYCTTCCTATTGCCCACAGGAAAGGTGTTAGGTTGTGCACCACTAAACATCCCATTTCCAACTTTGTTTCCTATGAGAACATTTCACCCTCATTTCGTGCCTTCCTTACCTCCATTGACAGTGTCCCTATTCCCAAGAATGTGGCAGAAGTTCTTTTAGTACCAGAATGGACAAATGCCATGAAGGAAGAAATTAATGCCCTTCATAAAAATGGCACGTGGAAACTTGTTGATCTTCCTAAGGGAAAGGATCCAGTTGGATGTAAATGGGTGTTCACGGTCAAGCATGGGGCTGATGGAACCGTGGAGAGGTATAAARCTCGTTTAGTGGCAAAGGGGTTTACTCAAGTATATGGACTTGATTATGCAGAAACTTTTGCCCCTGTTGTCAAGATGAACTCTGTTAGAGTTTTTTTCTCTCTTGATGCTAATCTGAATTGGGATCTACATCAGCTTGACATCAAGAATGCTTTCTTGAATGGTGACCTTGAAAAGGAAGTTTATATGGTTCAACCCCCCGGTTTTCTGGCTCAAGGCAATGAACAAAAAGTGTGCAAKTTAWAGAAGTCTTTATATGGGCTGAAGCAATCACCAAGAGCTTGGTTCAACAGATTCCATGCTGCGGTTCAGCAAAAGGGATACAAGCAATGTCAATCAGATCACACACTGTTTGTGAAAAGGGGAGAAGGTAAAATGGCTGCCTTAATAGTATATGTGGATGACATAATTGTTACTGGTGATTGGAATGATGAAATTCAAAGTTTGAAGGGTTTCCTTGCCACTCAGTTTGAAGTGAAAGATCTAGGACCTGCCAAATACTTCCTTGGAATTGAAGTTGCTCAATCAAAAAAATGTATATTTATCTCCCAAAGGAAATATGTCCTAGATTTGCTTCAGGACACTGGAAAGATGGGGGTTAAGCCAGCTGACTCTCCCATTGACCCCAACCATAAATTAAGTGATAGCCAGGGTGAACCTCTTAAAGATGTGAAACAATTTCAGAGGCTTGTAGGGAGATTGTTATATCTCTCTATGACCCGTCCAGACATCGCTTATGTTGTTGGTGTCCTCAGTCAGTTCATGCATGCACCTAGGTCTACTCATCTTGAAGTAGCATAGAGGATACTACAATATCTTAAGAAGTTTCCTGGTGCTGGCTTGTTATTTCAAAGGCACGGGCATTTGAGAGTTGAAGTTTATACAGATGCGGATTGGGTTGGATCTCAAAGTGACAGAAAGTCTACTAGTGGTTACTGCACATTTGTAGGAGGGAACCTTGTTACTTGGAGGAGTAAAAAGAAAACCGTGGTGGCTAGATCCAGTGCTGAAGCCGAATACCGTGCAATGGCCCACGGAGTAGCTGAAGGTATGTGGATAAAGATTTTGTTGAGTGAGTTGGGTTTCCCAGTGGATAAACCCATAACTCTATTCTGTGATAACAAAGCAGCTATAAGTATTGCTGCTAACCCGGTACTACATGACAGAACAAAGCACATCGAAGTTGACAAGCATTTTATCAGAGAGAAAGTCATCACAGGTGAAGTATGTACTCCCTATTTCAGCTCTGAAAACCAACTGGCAGGCATCTTCACAAAAGGGCTAAACTATTCTAGACATCATGATCTCTGTGACAAGTTGGGCATGATTGATATCTATGGCCCAACATGAGGGGGAGTGTTGACAGATGTTGTACACAAGTTTAGTACCGCAGGGGTATTTCTGTAATTTTTCCATACCTTATGTTGTACAACCAGTATAGTATAAATAACAACTGCTTCACTCGCTTGATGCATTCTTTTGAGGCATTCAGTCCTCTCGCCTATCCTCTCTTCTCTTCTCTCTTCCTCTCTTCCTCCTCTCTTCTCTTGCTCAACATTTTCCTCCCTTTTTTCATTTTTCCTATTATATTTCTTCATCTTTTCCTTCCCCTCATTAAGATCTTCCCCTTTCAAGCCCCCATCTCCCATCTGAAGCAACTCTATCCCTTTACCCTCTTTTACACCTTCAGTCCCTGCATCCTTCGGGGCCCCCTTCTTTCCTGAACTCACTTCCACATAACCCTCTCTAATTCTGCATTCCTCAAAATCTGAACAAATCCATCCCCAAATTATTTCTATCTCCTCCTCCCTACCTTCTCTCCCATCACAATCAGCCTTTTCTTTGTTTTTCTTTCCAGGATCTACCTTTCCACCCTCTAGCTTATCACTATCTCCTTCTCGAGCAGACGTTGGGGTATTTGCAAAAGGCTCAACACACAGGTCAATACCAAAAACCGAAGGGACACACATACCTGGCTGAAAACAACCCAAGGCAGGGCTAAAAAGGCCTTTGGAATGGGACTTCACAGCTGAAGCCATGGATTTCCCCCTAGTCAGACATTGCGGTGAAGTAGTTTGGGTTAAATTAGCAGCCTCTTCCGGTCCCGTTCAAAGCAGACCCTGCCTCTGTATCTCCCTTCCTGGTCTACTTTCACATAACCCAGGGGAGTCCTGTCTCTCTGTGCCAAACCCCATACTGTACTACTCTCTTTGATTTTCTCCCTCGATTAAGGAGGGTGTAGCTGGCACAACATCAATAGCCAACGTTTCAACCTTCCTACCTGTCTCGATCTCACCCCCAACAGTTGAATCTCCCTCTAGGAACAGAATCTCCGTATTGAAACTGCTTTCCTCCAGGAAATCCCCTTTAACCTGCAACTCAACACTACCTATACTATCTGCGTCCTTCGTGTTTGAATCTTCACTGTATTCCTCGTTTGACCAGTCCCCATCTTCTAAGAAAGTCAGATCCTTCCTTTTTGCGCACCTAGGATTTCGTCTTTCAGGCGAAATATTCCTTTGTTTATTCACAGGAATCCATTGTAGCGAGCTTTGTCCAGTCGATTTCGTTCCTGAGCGGCAACCAGTAGAAGGTCGCGACTCGCGAGGAGGACGATGATAGACACATCGTCCCGTCTAGAAGAGCCCCCCCTGTTCGACCACGTGAGTTTTAAGTGACTCACGTGGTCCCCCTAACTCTTTTTCAAACGGGCTGTCCTAGGCTAGGCCCCTTTTAAGCCTTTGATTGTCGACCCAAACATCTTAATGGGCTTTTGCTGATTACCTGGCCCATAAATAACAACTTGCGATGGCACGTGACTTTTTGGAGAGTCACACGCTTTCAATCCTTCGTCCGGTTCAGAGTCACTAGACCTGGGTTCGGTTCTTCCCTGAACCGACACCTTCTCCTTGTTTAAAACTTCAATATTGGCCTGTGCAAAAGTCTGACCTCCCTGCAGACTGTTTTCTTCTTCTCTCCAAAAGGTGTTTTTCTATTTTAGTGCAAGTGATATTCTTGTTTGAACCAGCCAATCCCTTACTTCCACGCAGCTCTTCTTCTTCAATCTTCTCATCTCCCTCCCTGCGAGCCTCTTTTCAGAGCAGAGATTCAACGGATGAAGCCAACCAAACTGCATAGAACTGCCCTTCCACTCTCACCTCTATCTTCTGTGGTATCTCCTCTGGCTTTACTCCATTTAGTAGAATAGCAGCCGAGTAGAGGTCTCTCCAGAATACTCCACCAAGTGATCCTCCACACATCAATGCAATGGCTTCAGCAGTTTCTTGCTTCCACAGATGAGAAGGCAGGCCTAGCATTCGCACCAACACCCCATCTTCAACAAAGAAGCCTCTGGCATTTGACCCTGGACACCATCTTGAGATTGTAAAATTCCCAAGTTTAGCTTGAATGTTTAAGGCCTCACCTTCTACTTTGTTCTCAAGCAAATCCAGCAGTGCCTTTCCTTTTCCAAAGGGAGTTAAAGATGAACATTTTCTGCAACTTCAATCTTGTTGTTAACAACTCTGCAACTTTCCTCCAGTCTTCAACATAGGTTGATGTTTTTACTATCAGTTTGTTTCCCCAGTCTTCTCCCTTTAGATTTGCTCCCAATATGTGTTTTCCTGCCCCAGTTGTCACTATTAGAGCCCCTTGCTTGTTATCCTCAACCTGGTTACTAGTACTATTTGACTTCCCTTTACTGTTGAGTTTTCTTCTCTTTTAGCACCCAACCATTGCAGCAGTTCACTTAATACCCCAAGAACTTCCTTCCAACCCTGACCTTTCCTTCCCTCTGGGAAGAAAACAGTTTGCTTCCTACCCTTGCCAAAGTATTCCGTCATGGTTATGAAAGACCCTTTAGAGTTTCTCTTGCACTCTACTACATATCTTCTTCCTGCTTCTGAAAGAAACTCCTTACAGCTGATGTGTTTACCCTTGTTACTTGCACCTTCCAAAAATTCCTTAAACCCTTCAATCACCCCCATACCTTCTACCAGCACCATCCCTCTCCTTTCTTCCCTAGTGTCAGTTCTTCGAAAAGAAGCTCCTTAGCTTCAATCTTCAATGTTTTTCTCCAGCGGCCTATCTCCACGAATCCTCCCATTGCTGCTTGATGGAGCACAATTGCAAGAAAGGATTCTTTAGATGCGTTAAGTGTATAGAAATATTCCTAATTGCCTTTTTCTTTCTGATAGACAATGAATTTCAGGAAATACTAATTTCTGGATAGAAGTTTTGAACCCAAATCTTTTATATCAACACCCATAGATTTCAAGGCATAGACAAACCAGTATCTCCCATCCTAGCAATGATCTTAAGTATATACCAATGCCATTGAAAGAAGAAAAAAATCAAAATCATCTGATATATGTGCCACCATGTCATAATACAAATTTCATGCCCCATAACATTATTATAAGGGAGTGCTACATAATACAGAAGATAGCTACTGTAACTTACTGCTATACACGTAAGCCCCAAAGGGACAAGGATACAAATACTTTCCCTCAAATGAAACGCAAATCTCATAGGTTCCAACATCCTTAGCTAGATAGTAACTAACGTATGATCCATCCTTGTTATCAGAAAACATCCAACTGAGGGATTCAGAATTGTTAATGGAAGCAATCACAAGGCTCAGCTTCGATTGTTGCGAAAGCACAGGATTAGAAAATGAATCCATGAGTTGAACCACTACTTCATTTTTAATGAGATTTTGTACATTGGGTGAAAACTTAACAACGCGTGAAAGTGTTATATCAACCTCACCTGCAGACATGCACAAAACAATCATCAGAAAAGAAGAGTTAGAAGAATCATTACATGCAGCGATCATTACTAAATTAGAAGTTGACCGTGGATCTGAAAAATTGGTCTTGAAGCTGAATGATATTCCCTTAACAATTTGTCACACACGAGGGCTGAATGGTGTACCCATATACAAGAGTAGATTGGTAAAACTTTCCTAATGAGAGACTGGTTAGGGGAACTAGGGAAAGGTAGGAAAAAGAAAGGTTGGACTAATTAGGACTGTGAACAGTGAGAAGAAAATAGGCAGAACTAAGTTTAGAATCTGTCCAAATGTAAATGGCCAAGTGGATGTTTTAAGTGTTTTCTCTTGAAGTTCTCTAGGGTTCTTAGGTGGAGCAATTTTAGCATTGCCCCAAGTTAAAACAGCAATTAAGTAAAAAAAAAAAAAAAAAAAAAAACTAGAGAGAAGGACTCTGCTGATGCAGGATCTTATTCAGTTAAAATCAGAATTCTTTTCAACAAACAAGAGAACTAGCAAAAAAACACCGACTGCAGTTTCAAAGATCAATAGAAAATTGAAGAGAGAATGACAAAAACCGAGAATCATCCTTAATCTCTAGGAATAACTAATGAAGAAGACAAAATAACAAGTGACAAGAAATTTGAAGTAAAAACTGAAGATACATTTGCATAGAATCAGTAAGAATAGAAAGTAACTTGTTGCCCAAAATTAAAAGAGAACAAGAACTTGGCTCGTAAACTTTGCAAAAACAATAAAAATTCTTATCCGCTTGTTCTTTAAATGAAAATGCAAAAGGAATCATATTATTGACCTTCAACCAAAAAACATCAACTGTTCTCTCATGGTTATTAGTGAAGAAAGAATTCAGGGATATCCCTCAGTCTATTTCTCATGGGAAGCATGCTTTCTCTATAGAAGTGACGTTTTTTTGTACATCCTGATCAATCCTTTTCTGATGAATACAAATTTAAAAGAGAATATCAACAAAAGAAACATATGAATGGGATACCTGCTTTTACTTCCATTAAAAAAGAATGACCACCATTGAGTGGGATATTCCCACAGAACACTTGAATCTCATAGGTCCCAGATCTTTCAGGAGTATAAATGACATCAAAGATGCTAGTCTGAAATTTTACACTTACAGTAGACTGACTTCAAATAGAACTGTTGTCAGTACACCAAAAAGTGCTACACAAACAAATACACACATAATCATATAAATTTGTTTCTTACATTATTATTATTTGGCTCAAGAAACAGTGCAGGATTACTTGCTATAACATTTTCAGCACCATAGCTATATTCTCCAGTGAACATAGGCCTATCACCTGTTACATAGATGCATGCCTCTTGGTCTAAATATCAATTGAAAATATTCAATGAATTGAAACATTTAAGTAGCAGTTGAAGCTATTTTACCATCAGCAATTTGCACAGGATATATGTTAGCCAACACATCACTTGAATCAACTTTGCTCATGATTTTCACCCAAAGCGTTGCTGTATCTACTGGAGAGGGATAATGATACATATCATTCAGATAAACTGAAAAGTTTGAACTTTTCCCAGCAATAGAACCAGCTAAACCAGATCCATTGATGACGCTATTCAGTTCATCACAATAACCTATTTTCAAAAAAAAAATCAAAAGGAAAAATAATTGGGTGAAAATTTGTCAACATAAATGGTTTATTTGAGCATACATATTCATGTAAGTGCGCTATAAGGTTGAAAAAATAGAATATTAAAAAATAGAAAAAAACAAGAAGTATCTGATAAGCTCAAACAGTTCAGTCAATTAATGAAAACATGCTTTTACTAAATATATCATAGTTTAGGGACAGTAAGCCTCAACCTTATGCCAAATATTGCTATTGATAAGACTTAAATAACTCAAATCAGCTATAAAAAGTTATGTATGACAACTTATTCTAAGGGTGAACTTGTAACAAATATAGGGGAAAACTGAAAAGTAAAATAATATTTTTGAGGATTAAGTAAATGGATTGTATATGTTAAAGTGTGCCGAATAGGGGTAGTTTAGTCTTCTTATGTTTGTTAAGTAGCTTGCTTATGTGGCAGTATTATTAGAGTCACTCTGCCCCACACTTAAGTAAGGGCACTTTTGTCTTTGTAAAGATTATTAGAGTCTAATATAGATTAAGGGGGTCGACTGTATGGGTAATCCATCAGATTTCGACAGACCCTTCTTCTTCTTCTTCTCTTTCTGGTTCGGACTACTGTAGCACCAGTCGAAACATGGTATCAGAGCCATGCTCCTGACCTACTT